GAACTGAAGGTAGCAAGGGAGGCAAAGTCAAACCCCAAGGGATTCTATCAAATGTATCGCACTAAAACACAAGAAAAGGTTGGAACTCCTTCCTTCCTTAGGCTTAAGTAAGCCCCTTTATAATATTTATACTGTATATACTTGTCACACTTGCCAGATGCTTCTGGTGTTATTGTACAGGGGTACCTAGTGACAGCACTAGGACCCTGCTTCCTCTATCAAGGAATAAACAATTGAAATTGAAAAATTGAAAGGTTGGACCAATACAGTCAGATACCGGCGAGCTAATTGATAACGACGGAGAAATGAGCAATAATCTGAATATATATTTTTCAACAGTTTTCACCACCGAAAATTTAAACATGCTACCCAAGGCACCGACTCTATACAGAGATAGTGAAGAAATAGTTACAGCAACATAGTAGTGACTATTAACGATATTAGTAAGCAAATAGACAAACTAAAGCGTAATAAGTCACCAGGTCCCGATGAGATATTTGCCAGAGTATTAAAGGAATGTAAGGAAGAGCTTAGTATGCCCTTAGCAAAGTTGTTTAACATGTCCTTAAAAACAGGTGTAGTACCAGAATCCTGGAGGATAGCGAATGTAATTCCGATTTTCAAGAAGGGAGATAGATCACTATCCTCTAACTACTGTCCAATCAGTTTAACATCAATTGTAGGCAAATTAATGGAAGCAATAATTTCAAACTCCATTCGAAATCACCTGGAGACGCACAAGTTGATCAATGATTCCCAACATGGCTTCACATGCGGGCGTTCATGTCTAACTAATCTATTAACATTCTTTTCAGTTGTTTTCGAATCAGTGGACGAGGGGCACAATTATGACGTGGTATATCTCGATTTTAGCAAAGCCTTCGACAGAGTCCCCCACGAAAGACTATTAAGAATAGTGGAGGCTCATGGCATTAAAGGAGATATTCTAAAATGGATTAGGGCGTGGTTACAGGACAGGAAACGGCGAGTGAACATTAACGGCACTAAATCCGATTGAAGCAAAGTCACTAGTGGAGTTCCCCAAGGCTCAGTACTTGGACCATTATTATTTATTATATACATAAACGACATAGATATCGGCGTAGACAACAACATAAGTAAATTCGCTGATGACACTAAAATAGGGCGTGTAATTAAATCTGACGAGGACTCCACAAAACTACAGGAAGATCTAAACAAAATTTCGAATGGTCTGAAAAATGGCAGATGAAATTCAATGTGGACAAATGTAAAGTACTCAGTTTAGGAGATGTAAACAGGGAAACGAGATGAACAACGATGTTATAGAGAAATGCGACTGCAAGAAAGATTCAGGAGTAATGAGAAGTAGGAATCTTAAGCCAATAAGTAAACAATGTGTATTTGCTGGAAACAAGTCTAATAAAGAAGTTGGGTTCAAACAAAGGAGTGTTAGTTACAAGACTAGCGAGGTCATCCTAAAATTATATCTTGCGCTTGTGAGACCTCACTTGGATTACGCAGTTCAATTCTGGTCACCGTATTACAGAATGGATATACTGTAGAATCCTTAGAAAGAATTCAGAGGAGAATGACAAGACTAATCCCGGGCATGAGGAACCTTGAGTACAGAGACAGGTTAAAGCATCTTAATTTGCACTCCCTTAAGAGACGTAGAGCGAGGGGCGACCTGATAGAGGTGTATAAGTGGAAGTCAGGGATAAACAAAGGGGACATTACAAAGGTACTCAAACTATCCAACCAGAAGCGAACTCGTAACAATAGTTTTAAATTAGACAAATTTAGATTTAGGCGCGAAATAGGTAAATATTGGTTTGGAAATAGAGTAGTGGATGAATGGACCAAGTTACCAAACATCATCATTAACTCAGGCCGCTGGATAGCTGGATGGGAAGCAGAGGGTCAGTGTAGATGGTGTTAAATCTGAGTGGGGTCATGCTTAACCAGTGGGGTTCCCCAGGGGTCAGTACTAGGCCCACTCTTGTCATAATCTACAAACATCTAGATACTGGGATCCAGCAGTGACATAAGCAAGTTTGCGGATGACACCAAAATAGGGCGGCAGGTTAATTCAGGGCAGGATGCAAATTCATTACAGGAGGATCTAAAAACTGCAGGGGTGGTCTGAAAAATTGCAAATGAAATTCAACACCAGCAAGTGCAGCGTACTTAATATTGGAAGAACAAATACTGTCAATGTATACAGCCTTGAACAACATCAACCTAGAGAAGTCGACTTGTGAAAGAGACCTAGGGGTACTTGTAAGCCCGGACCTACGGCCTAGAAAACAGTGCGTTAATGTTCGAAATAAGGCAAACAGAGTATTGGGTTTTATATCTAGAAGTGTAAGTAACAAGGGTACAGAGGTCTTATTGCAACTATATCTTGCGCTAGTCAGGTCGCACCTCGATTATGCGGTTCAGTTCTGGTGCCCCTATTATAGAATGGATATAAATTCACTAGAGTCGGTGCAGCGAAGAATGACAAAAATGATTCCGGGACTTAGAAACCTTCCATATCAGGATAGGTTAAAGAAACTTAACTTGCATTCCCTAGAAAGACGAAGAGTGCGGGGAGATATGATAGAAGTATTCAAGTGGGTGAAAGGAATCAATAAAGGTGATATAGATAAAGTTCTTATAATATCCGAGCAGGATAGGACTCGGAACAACGGATTCAAGTTGGATAAGTTAAGGTTTAGGAGGGAGATAGGAAGGAACTGGTTTACAAATAGGGTGGTGGACGAGTGGAACAAGCTTAGCAACTTTGTAGTAAGTGCTGGAACGCTGGAAAGTTTCAAAGGGAGGCTAGATAGGTCATGGATGATAGAGAGTGGCGTTGGCCAACTCTCGGTAGGAGCTGCCATGCACAGGCCAGCCGGCCTGTGCGGGCTCCTTGGCCTGCTTATGTTCTTATAACATGGGAGTTGGATGGATATATGAGCAATAGGGTTTTGGTGTAAATGGGACTGCCCAGTATGGGCCAATAGTTACGGTTTCCTCCAGTCTTCTGTTCTTATGTTATTATGAGAGCATGTGTTTGTATATCACAGCGGGGAGGTCAAATTACTATGAGCTGTGGGCGGTTGGTTGAGGCCTAGCAGTCATGAAGTTACTGAAGTATTGCCCTTAGTTACCATATCAATAGACGTTTCTACTAGGATTAAATAACCTCAGATCCCTTTGACAAATTCTAAGTATATTGTTTGGAAATTAAACTTTTATATACGTCAAAATAAAATAACTGCAGGTTTATTAGTCGAAAATTTTCTCAGCCACGATCACACCTCACTGCCTATACTGAGTACAGACCCTCACACATTTTTATATTCTTCATAACTGAAGATAATAAAATACGTCTAATTTCCCCCCTAAGTAGTTAATTCTCCTCATAAGTAGTTAATTTTCCCGATAAGTCATTAATTTTCCTCATAAGTAGTTAATTTTCCCCATAAGTAGTTAATTTTCCTCATTAGTTAATTTTCCTCATAAGTAGTCAATTCCGCTGTACAACTTCTCGATCTACACTATATCCAATTTACATGATTTCAATTTACACAAACCCGAGTCTACAGATGTAAAAAAATACAGAAAGAACAAAATAGAGATTAACCCCGCCATTTTATTACAAGGACGAGCGAGTATTGAGTAGAGTTTAACTACAAAAGACTAACTCACCCTCATCGTTCATTGGTTGGTCCCGGGGTCGACTTACCTGGAAGAGAGAAAAAAAAAATGGTTAACAATGAGATCAAAGGAAAAGATTATTTACAGTGACGTTTGTATTTCTTTATGTAAATGGTACAAGGTATTGTGAAGGGTTGTTATAGAGGGAGTATGCTACCTTGTGGTGGATGATTTGGATGATGGTGTGGTGGATGATCTGGGTGATGGTGTGGTGGATGATCTGGGTGATGGTGTGGTGGATGATCTGGGTGATGGTGTGGTGAATGATCTGGGTGATGGTGTGGTGGATGATCTGGGTGATGGTGTGGTGGATGATTTGGGTGATGGTGTGGTGGATGATTTGGGTGATGGTGTGGTGGATGATCTGGGTGATGGTGTGGTGGATGATCTGGTTGATGGTGTGGTGGATGATCTGGGTGATGGTGTGGTGGATGATCTGGATGATGACCATGTTGTTATAGCTGCAGTAGGTGGATGACTGGGATAACTATGATGCCAGAATGACAAAAGAGAGAGAGAGAGAGAGAGAGAGAGAGAGAGAGAGAGAGAAGACATCCGTGAGGGAACAGTATACGTGAATTTATAAGATGCTTCCTAAAAGAGACTAACTTCTGTACCAAGGAACACACATACCTGACAGGACTGAATGATGGTATGGAAACTAAGGAAAAAAAATCGGTAAGTAACAAAGGAAAATGAGTTAATTCATTCATGTATTGTAAGAATTGCTGATATAAAAAATAAAAATAAAAACTACAACGAGAATGTTATAAAAACACGTCTGGTAAATCAATGGATATTATTAAACCCCGTAAAAAAAAAAAATCGGTGACAAAGTTGCATTATCTGATAGTCGGCTTTAGTATACAACAACAAAACTCAATATCAATTAATGTAAATCACTCACTGATTCACTCAACCTTGGATGAAACTACAAGAATATGACCTAAATTAGCAGTTTAGTACGTAACATCTCAAGACACAACTAACCCTGTAATCTGCCTCAACAAGAACTACGGCACAGACAGCATTCACCTTCAGCCTAAAAGAACCCAACACGACGACACAAGCGGGGGGTCGTCCTAACTAAACTCATAACTTATACACAGTGCTCAAGAGAAGGTCATACTGCTGTAGGTCTTCTAACTGCAATGAAACTCTTAGTCTTGTGCTGTTTGGTCGAGGAATCTGTCCATTTCACAAGATTGACAGGGAGACTACAAACTGCCAGCCACTAATTCACTCATGTCAGAAGCAGAGGAAGAGATTTGTAGGAGCAATTATACAAGGATGATACTGGTGAAGTCATACTCATGGGGTGTAATGCGAGTGAGGCCAGTGAAGAAAGTGGAGCGAGTAAAGGGAGTGAAGCGAGTGAGGAAAATGAAGCGAGTGAAACAAATCAGGAAAGTGAAGCCAGTGGAACGAGTGAATCAAGTGAAGTAAATGAATCAAATGCAACGAGTAATAAGAGTGAATCAAGTGAAGCGAATGAATCAAATGAAGCGAGTGAATCAAGTGAACCGAGTGAATCAAGTGAACCGAGTGAATCAAGTGAAGCGAGTGAATCAAGTGAACCGAGTGAATCAAGTGAACCGAGTGAATCAAGTGAACCGAGTGAATCAAGTGAAACGAGTGAATCAAGTGAACCGAGTGAATCAAGTGAAGCAAGTAAATCAAGTAAAGCAAATGAAGCGAGTGAAACACATAAGAAACATGAGAGAAGCAAAACAATATCAAACACATATTTATCCCGAACTCGAAAGAATTTATCCAAACATTTCCCAATAAGATGGATTCCTCCTCCATTACTTCTGGACGTGGATAACAGATCATGTAGTGTTTTTACCCTTCCATAGCACTGCCAATGACTCCAGTGCAATGACATGTGAAGCGGTGACTAGGTTGTGTGCAATAACTGTATGTGAAGCGTAGTAAGAGGTGATCGAATAGTCCCTGTGCACCTGGAGTAATTAAGAGTATAGGTGTTCCTTGTTATATCTTCATTACAGGTGCACGGGGACTTCTCGATCACCTGGTACACATGCTGACAAACACATTAGGTAGCATTTGACAGACAGACAGACGGACGGATTTATTATACTGAACACAAAGGAACGCCTGAGATTAATTTATATGACAAACCATACAACAATACTCCCGTCCAGTTCACTAACAGTTAACTGACCAGAATTTGACTGGAGAGGCTCAGTCTAGTCAGAGGCTTTTGTTTGATTCATTAAAAAAAAAAGAATTGGTGAGGATTTGTTGTGGTTTCCCCAGTTAATTAATATAAACTCGCTATTCCCGTTTTCTATGTTTGGGATTTTCAGGACGATATATTTCAAAAATTTTCTATGTGAATTTGTCTGTTTAAACCTTCTATATAGGAATTAATTTTATCCCTTAAGTTTATTAATTAATTTTTCGTCCAGTAAGATTAATTAATATTCAGTTTTAACCATTTTTATTAAGTTTTATCCAATATTCTCTACCTACTAACATGTCATCGAAAAAAATACAATTAAAATTCCTTTCCCAGAGATTTATCCCAGGGAACTGATACGACCCGAGACTTTTCCCCGGGACCACATAATAACCAATTAACCAGCCCCTTATATCATCGACCATATATAACGATGATTCCCCTGGTAACGACTCAATATTAGGTGGTTAGCGAGGATTAATAAGCTGTGCCCTGATCTCATATGACAGAGCTCCCCTGATCATATTCTGCTTCCTGGTTCCATGTTGGTAATAAATGAGCAAAAAGATAATTTATTTGGAACTTTTCTACTCGATAAGGTGTTTTGTGAATGTATATATTGTCCTTACACATGAATAATTAAGGACAATCTTGCTGTTTTACTATAAATATTCAAGCAATCTCCACGAAAATAAGTTAGGCAGTTGTGTATACATTTTTCTGAGACAACCTGTAAATAGTGTTAGTAGTAGTACAGGAGAGTGACTATACTAAGTTCTATCAATATACAAATTTCAACTTCACGCCATTTTCCTGTAATTTAAAATAGGACTATGACCATTTCAATGAGTCAATGACGATGTGATTTCAGAAGTAATTTTACATGTTTCTTAAAATACTTAAAGGAATTAGTGAAATAACTCATCACTCGTTAAGCTTTTTATGTTCAACTCTTTTATCAAGTTAAAGTCAAATTATTATTTTTTTTAAACTCCTGTCTCTCGTTAAGCTTCACCGTCAAGTTCCTGTCTCTCATTAAGCTTCTCCGTGAAGCTCCTGTCTCATTAAGCTTCTCTGTCAATCCCCTGTCTCTGATTAAGCTTCTCCGTCATGTTCCTCTCTTATTAAGCTTCTCCGTCAAGCTCCTGTCTCTCATTAAGCTTCTCCGTCAAGTTTCTGTCTCATTAAGCTTCTCCGTCAAGTTCCTGTCTCTCATTAAGTTCTCCGTTAAGCTCCTGTCTCTCATTAAGCTTCTCCGTCAAGCTCCTGTCTCTCATTAAGCTTCTCCGACAAGTTCCTGTCTCTCATTAAGCTTCTCCGTCAAGTTCCTGTCTCATTAAGCTTCTCCGTCATGTTCCTGTCTCATTAAGCTTCTCCGTCAAGCTCCTGTCTCTCATTAAGCTTCTCCGACAAGTTCCTGTCTCTCATTAAGCTTCTCCGTCAAGTTCCTGTCTCATTAAGCTTCTCCGTCAAGTTCCTGTCTCATTAAGCTTCTCCGTCAAGTTCCTGTCTCATTAAGCTTCTCCGTCAAGTTCCTGTCTCATTAAGCTTCTCCGTCAAGCTCCTGTCTCCAATTAAGCTTCTCCGTCATGTTCCTGTCTCATTAAGCTCCTCCGTC